GAATTTCCTTTGTTGGTCTTCCAACTTGGAGGAGCGTAGTAGTGCCAGTATCTCTGGTACTTTGGTCAGTTTTATACCCGTTTTCATCGTGATAACTGTGCTCGAGGCCGATAGGTATGTAGAGATTGTAGATCCCTTTAATCGTTTTGTCTGTCTGAGATGACAAAGATATTCTGCCACTTGAGGATGTGTTGCTTCCATCGCAGGCAAGCCTTTATTCCGTGCATATTTCTCAAAACTTTGCCACTTGTCATCATACAAGGTACGGATTAATCTATTTAAGGCTAAAGTTACTGCTTTGGCCGCTCTGGTGGAATATCCTCTTTTTTTTCAAGCAAGTCGTGATATGCTCCATGCATGTAGCTGAAACATTGTTGGGTATCTGTGTACTTGCTTGGTGTGTGGATGAATCAGTAGTTCTGGCCACTTTGGAAGTTGTAGGATTGGATTTTCTATATCTTGTATGAGGTTGGGGAACCACTCTCTCGTTGGCCAATAAGGCGCAACCAAAATCGGTGTAACTTGTTCGTCACCTTGATTTTCTGTAATACCTTCGGGTATTAACGATGGTGGAGGGAACGGGTAAGCGTTTAGTCCTTCCCAAGATATGCTTAGAGCATCTGTTGCCCATGCTTGAGGATCTGGAACCGGAGTTGGTAGTTGTTTGTTGAACTTGGCTGCGAACAAATCTACCAGTGGGGATCCTGTTGTCCGAATGATGTCCCTGAATGCCTTTGGATGTAACATCTACTCCGTCGGTGATGGATTCATTGGGACGGGATAGGGATTTCTGGCTCGGGGAATGTGTGATGCTTTTATGTCGATGTTCAGGTTGGCTTTTATGTCGATGTTCAGGTTGTCTACTATGCTGAATAGTTGAAAACTGAGGTCCAATATGCTCGTTGATCTTGTTGACCCTTGTTTCTTGAGGTAAAACCCAACTGTGGAGTTGTCCGTATGGATCATCAGTTGAGCGTTCCTTAGTATGCTGGACCAGTGTAGTAAGGCGTTTATAACCGCTTTCAACTCTAGCATGTTGATGTGTAGTTTTTTGTTCCTGATTCGACCACTTCCCCGATGCCACTTTGTTGTTTAAGTGAGCTCTCCATCCTTGAAGGGACGCATCTGCGTAGACATGAATGTTGGATTCCGGCTCCGCGAAGTAGGTTACTGCGCAGACATTCGACTTCCGTGTCCACCATAATAGGTATGGTTTCAGTTCGGTCGGTAGGACGAATGGATCCAGACTGTCTAGATGATCGTTCACAAACACTTGTAGTAGGCGCAAAAGTAATCTGCCTCATGTCTTGTGCTGACGTGAGGAGACCGAGTAGACTCTGCCACCCTCGTAGTGGTAGCGGAGCGAGTAGTGTTTGTGATATCATCTGTTGTATCTTGATCCAACGGTCCTCCGGGACTAGTAGTCGATTCGTTGAAGTGACGACTTGTATTCCTAGGAATTGTAGATCCTGTGTAGGTTCCAATTCCGATTTGAGATGATTTACTAACCATCCTAGTTGAGTGAGTAGTTTGATTGTAAATGTCAGTTGCCGTCTGAGTAGATTCGGATCTTGATGAGCTTGAACCCCGTCGTCTAGGTAAAACGCACTGCGTAGACATTGATGATGTAGGTAACTGATGATGGGCTTTGTCACTCGAGTAAACAACCAGGGGGGCGACGATAATCCCAACCATAGTACCTTCCACTGGTAGTGACGCCCGTTGAATAGGAATCGGAAGTATCTCCTTGAGTCTTGATGTATTGGGATGTGAAGATACGCATCCTGTAGATCTATGCTGGCTAGATAATCTGACGGACGGATGATCTGTCTGAGTTGTGGAAGATGTACCATTTTGAATCTTGCGGGCCTTCTTAGATGATCCTGGTTGAATTTCTTCATGTTGTAAATCAGTCGGAACTTTTCCTTGGAAGTTTTCTTTGGAACTAGAAAAATTGGGGAGTAAAAACCGAGTGTGACGATTTTTATTTCTTCGACTGCCTTCTTGTTTGTGATTCATGCCTGCGAGGTTGACAACGTGCAGTCTGCCAGATGGTGTAACTATTTCTAACCAACAATGTAGTATCATTCTTTTAGACTTTTGACTAACAGTAAAGTCACGCTACCTTTAAGGTGTGCACTATACCTGATACAAAACCGTTTCATGGTGAGAGAGACGGTAAGCACGGACTATAGAGCTCGTGATCATTGTAGAAACTAAGATTATACTTCTAACTATTGTGGCGATCCTTTTCATTGCTCAGCCTCATGAATACAAAAAGTACACCAGCTGTTATGCAGCTAGCTTGCAGTCAGTCAGTCTGTCTGTGAAAATGAATGCAAGCTGCGGTTGAGTCTTGGTTTCCAACAATAAAACACGCGTGACAACGACTCATTATTAAAATCACTGAGATCATGGCAAATAGTATCCTGGAACTCCAACGATACAAAACCGTGATAATGTAAATGAAAACCTCTGTACCACCAGTGAGTCTTTCAAATAGTTGCGTCTTTAATGTTAGGTATCGACAGTTCACATTCTGCCCTCCGTCCATGGTCAGCGTTTCAGCCAGTGGTGACGTCATTAGAGTCAATTAAATGGGCATTGGCCTTTTTTCAAGCAGCCGTCCCAAGATGTACGGGCTTATAATCATATCAACTTAAGAATCAAAACAATCAAAGAGAGCCTGACGCCTTGTAATGATAATACTTCCATTACTTAACACTCATCAAAGCTAACCATAATAAATGGTTAACATTGAGTGAGTTAATATCTAACGTCACAATAATTATATTTTAGTCATATCATGGCGAGAACAATTTATACATCAAAATTAATAAATGTAGAACATAAAAAAAATGTCGTTAATGGACAGAAAAACGTTTTGAGTGTCGCAGATTTTCACTTCAATTCGGCATGTTATTGTAAACATACATCACTATAGAGAACAAGACAATATAACACGGACTGTAGATCAGTAGCCACGGAAGGTGAGTCACTATACTAGGAACCATGGAATTAATGCTACCTGCATATACCCTAGCTGGATTTACACTCCTTCAGATATTGGGGAGTTGTGTGCAAAGTAGCAATACAATAAGAGAACATATATTCTACGAGTAGATTCAGGAATTTGAAAATAAAATGATCTCTATTTATTACGTAACTACAGCTTTCTACCATGTCAACAATGTAGTATCATTCTTTTAGGCTAAATAATGTAGCGTATTGGATATATGTATTTTTCATATCAAAACAACAAAATATACTTTCCTTATTATTCGGAATAACATCTTTAAATGTATGTGTGTGTGATTTGATTGGTAGTTTTGAGTGGATAGGAAGATGGTTTGTATTAATGTAATTGTCATCATTCATAAGAATATACATATTTAACCATGATGGTTTTGTTGTATGTACTTTTTTACAGCAATCCTATAATCTCGAACTCATGGTGTGTGTTTATAGACACACCCCGGTGTCACCCAGAGGGTATGTATATGTCACTTTATCACTTCTTTACGTATGTAAAATGTATTATCTGCGTGGATTTCCTTTTCACACCTATGATCATGTAACTATGATATATAATTGTAACTATGAACTGCTTCATGAATTTTTCTACTGGTAATACATTATAGTACATATTCATGACGTCACAAGTGTTGCATGTACTGATTAATGTGTAATATATCTTGTATATTTCATTACAGGGTCTGAAAGATTACACATGCATGGCTTAACCTTCATCTACACACTCACCCGCAACTTCCCATGTGTAATAACACGCCCCTGTACAAGGGATGCTTGTACACATGGGGAAAAGTCTCGCAACACTCCATGGCCATATTTCACTGCGTCACTATGTTAACATTAACCATAGCAACGTATCCCAGCCTCAGATTAACTTACAGTCTAGATAAACTGATCCTGAATGAACAATGAATCGTAGTTTCCCGCAGATCATCCATCGATCGATCACAGTTAACACAAGTCAGGAGTCACTGCAGCTGATCTGGAGGATCCTCCTTTTTAATTTGACCACTAACAGATCGCCAACGCACAGGTATAAACCACTGAGTGTCGCTTAAAGTTTTGAATAAAATATATTTCACGTGAGTAATTATCAACATGAGGTTGAAGTACGTGGCCAACCTTTGCTCGCTTCGCTCGCATATAGGAAGACTGGTAATGCTTCTCTCTGTTGCGCAACCCTGTTTGCGCTACAATTTTCCTTTGAGAAAAAGTAAAGGACCACAGTCATCTTATGAGGTGTTTTGTATGATTTATCCTTGATTTCACCATGCTTAACACAAATGTTCTTTAACTTGATGTTATTTTCAGATGAGAACAAGAGTCATCCGAAGATGACGTATCCCCCCGGCCCCCACATATTTGCAAGAACAAATCATCTGACAGTTACTTAAAGTCCAGCATGACTTTTTTTAAAACTAAGTCCAAATCGTTTCCATGGAAATCATGAGAAATATAAATGCCAAATATCTGTAAATAGCAAAGGGCACCATTTCAAAATTTGCCATATATATCTGCTAAATTCCGTTGAAAGATACTGAACGCTTTTCGAGTTGAGCACCGTAAATGAACCCACCCCTCCCTTCCTTGGAAACTGGGAAAAATAAATATGCCAAATTTCTGCCAAACAGCAAAAGGCACCACTTTGGCATCTGCCTCACATATCTGCCAAGTTTTGCTGAAAGATTAAGAGGTTTTCCAGTTGTGCTCCGGAAACGAAACCCACACCTCCCTTTTGGGACTAAGTCCGAATCGTTTCCGTGGAAACCGGGAAAAATAGAAATGCTAAAAATCTGCAAATAGCAAAAGGCACCACTTAAGGATCTGTTTGATATATCTACCAAGTTTTGTTGAAAAATATTGAACGGTTTTTGAGTTTTGCCCTGGAAACAAGATGATTACAGACGGACGGACGAACAGACGGACGAGGCGTCGACTATATCCCCGGATAAAAAGCATATACTTACCTCTTCTTCTACAAGTTCCTTGTCGCCTGTAAACAATAAAACCAAAGTTTAGAGTGTTTTCCTCTTACGCCCTTTGTAGCTACTGTAAATGCTATCATTGATGCGTGAGGCTTCGGTACGATGGTGCCAGTCTAGTTTGTTACTGACTTGTCAATAAATGCATAGAACCTTTCACAAAACACACCCCTTTCAGTTTTGAATTAACCATGGAAGATAAAACTAGATATACCATATGCAACAGTAAGTTTTTTTTTTTGTAACATCCGACAGAGACTTGAACTTAAATATAACACAGGTGGTGTACACAGGTGGTGTAAAGACATCAACTTGAACTGCTTTGGTGGACAATGATCTGCTGCTTCCATGTATTATTCTGTTGTGTTACTCTGTCTATGATTTACTAGGAACAATTCCGCAACATTTGAACACTGTTGAAGGCAATATTTGCCCTCTGTACACAACACCCACTGAAGTGCCTGAAAGTGTCAAAATCAAAAGCATCATTTAACCATTGGCACCATTAATAGTATTTATTCACCTTGTGCCTGGACCACGTTGATGTTAGTGTTGCCAACTCCACCATGAGCGATTCCTGCAGCGTTAACCGTCTCTGTGTGTCCTTCCGTGTTTGGTTTAACATGGATTTCCTTGGTACAGGATTCAGGAGGGTTGTTTTCGTTGTTCGGATTACTCATAGTTGTGGTGGTTGGTCGAGGTCTGCTGGAACTAGCTGGAACAGAGACAAGATGCGTTGTGTAATTGTATTATTGACTCCTTGATTAAATCATGACATGCCACAACAGACTGGCACATTCTACTCAGACCCTGAAATTACATTAGTTCAGATGTTCCACTGAGCCACTGTTACTGCCATATTATGTACAGGATAAAACATGACCCGCGGGCATTATGAACGGACAAATATATACTGTGCAAATATAGGCAACTACTGTGCAAATATAGGCAACTACTGTGCAAATATAGACAACTACTGTGCAAATAGACAGCTACTGTGCAAAAATAGACAACTACTGTGCAATAGAGACAACTACTCTGCAAATATAGGCAACTACTCTGCAAATAAAGACAACTACTCTGCAAACATAGACAACTACTCACCAAATATAGACAACTACTCTGCAAATATGGACAACTGCTCTGCAAATATAGAAAACTACTCTACAAATATAGACAACTGCAAATATAGACAACTAACTACTCAGCAAATAGAGACAACTGCAAATATAGGCAAGTACTGTGCAAATATAGACAACTACAACTGCAAATATAGACAACTACTCTGCAAATATAGGCAACTACTCTGCAAATATAGACAACTACTCTGCAAATATAGACAACTACTCTGAACATATAGACAACTACTCTGCAAATATAGACAACTAACTACTCAGCAAATACAGACAACTGCAAATATAGGCAAGTACTGTGCAAATATAGACAACTACAACTGCAAATATAGACAACTACTCCGCAAATATAGACAACTACGCAAAAATAAACAACTACTCTGCAAATATAGGCAACTACTCTGCAAATATACACAAATACTCTGCAAATATAGGCAACTACTCTGCAAATATAGACAACTACTCTGCAAATATAGACAATTACTCTGCAAATATAGACAACTAACTACTCAGCAAATACAGACAACTGCAAATATAGGCAAGTACTGTGCAAATATAGACAACTACAACTGCAAATATAGACAACTACTCCGCAAATATAGACAACTACGCAAAAATAGACAACTACTCTGCAAATATAGGCAACTACTCTGCAAATATAGGCAACTACTCTGCAAATATAGGCAACTACTCTGCAAATATAGACAACTACTCTGCAAATATAGACACATACTCTGCAAATATAGACAACTGCAAATATAGACAACTACTCTGCAAATATAGACAACTACTTTGCAAATATAGGCAACTACTCTGCAAATATAGACAACTACTCTGCAAATATAGACAACTACTCTGCAAATATAGACAACTACTCTGCAAATATAGACAACTACTCTGCAAATATAGACAACTAACTACTCAGCAAATACAGACAACTGCAAATATAGGCAAGTACTGTGCAAATATAGACAACTACAACTGCAAATATAGACAACTACGCAAAAATAGACAACTACTCTGCAAATATAGGCAACTACTCTGCAAATATACACAAATACTCTGCAAATATAGACAACTACTCTGCAAATATAGACAACTACTCTGCAAATATAGACAACTACTCTGCAAATATAGACACATACTCTGCAAATATAGACAACTGCAAATATAGACAACTACTCTGCAAATATAGACAACCACTCTGCTAATATAGGCAACTACTCTGCAAATATAGACAACTAATTACTTAGCAAATATAGACAACTGCAAATATAGGCAAGTACTGTGCAAATATAGACAACTACAACTGCAAATATAAACAACTACTCTGCAAATATAGACAACTACAACTGCAAATATAGACAGCTACTGTGCAAATATAGACAGCTACTGTGCAAATACAGACAACTACTTTGCAAATATAGACAACTAACTACTCAGCAAATATAGACAACTACAAATATGGACAACTACTCTGCAAATATAGGTAACTACTCTGCAAATATAGGCAACTACTCTGCAAATATAGGCAACTACTCTGCAAATATAGACAACTACACTGCAACTATAGACAACTAATTACTTAGCAAATATAGACAACTGCAAATATAGGCAAGTACTGTGCAATAGAAACAACTACTCTGCAAATATAGGCAACTACCCTGCAAATATAGACAACTACTCAGCAAATACAGACAACTACTCTGCAAATATAGACAACTACTCAGCAAATACAGACAACTACTTTGCAAATATAGACAACTAACTACTCAGCAAATATAGACAACTACAAATATGGACAACTACTCTGCAAATATAGGTAACTACTCTGCAAATATAGGCAACTACTCTGCAAATATAGGCAACTACTCTGCAAATATAGACAACTACACTGCAACTATAGACAACTACTCAGCAAATATAGACAACTACTCTGCAAATATAGACAACTACTCTGCAAATATAGGCAACTACTCTGCAAATATAGACAACTACTCTGCAAATAAAGACAACTACAACTGCAAATATAGACAGCTATTGTGCAAATATAGACAGCTACTGTGCAAAAATAGAAAACTACTGTGCAATAGAGACAACAACTCTGCAAATATAGGCAACTACTTTGCAAATATAGACAACTACTCTGCAAATATAGACAACTACAACTGCAAATATATACAGCTACTGTGCAAATATAGACAGCTACTGTGCAAAAATAGACAACTACTGTGCAATAGAGTCAACTACTCTGCAGGTATAGGCAACTACTCTACAAATATAGACAGCTGCTCTGCAAATATAGACAACTACTCTGCAAATATAGACAATTACTCTGCAAATATAGACAACTAACTACTCAGCAAATACAGACAACTGCAAATATAGGCAAGTACTGTGCAAATATAGACAACTACAACTGCAAATATAGACAACTACTCCGCAAATATAGACAACTACGCAAAAATAGACAACTACTCTGCAAATATAGGCAACTACTCTGCAAATATAGACAACTACTCTGCAAATATAGGCAACTACTCTGCAAATATAGACAACTACTCTGCAAATATAGACACATACTCTGCAAATATAGACAACTGCAAATATGAGGGTGTGTAAAGGGTCAGGGTAGGTTATACCCTCGGAACCTTAACTGAACATGTGAACGTATTCTATAGCGGCTCCGGATCGATCCACAGAACGACATACATCCAGTTGTGCAATCTCTTCTTTACAGGTTTATGCTTGCTGTACACAAACGTGTCTTCACAGTAGGCGATACACAATGCCACAATTACTAAGGGAATCAATACCGTTTTTCAAATAAGCGTCACCCACTGATCACAATGGATTAAACTTGTTTTAGTGACTGACTTGTCCTTTGTTTTTGTTTAGTTAACATATGAAGGCCGGCTTCTTTATTCTGGTTGAAGTTTCTAGCAAACATATCATAATATTAATCTCTTTATGTTTATTTTGTTCTTTAATCTTGCATTCTCTCTGTTTTGAGACAAAATGATACATGCTAATAGGTCATTCTATGGAAAAGGGCATTTTCAGCGTTTGCTCTTAAGAATATTATATTTGTATTTTTTGTATATTTTTATGCCTTGATGTAAAGTACTTTGGTTTGTATTATTGGTATATTGAATACACTGATCTTGGAAAATCTAATCATAAATGTTGCTTAAAAACAGCTATGAAATGGAAAAAGTGAGGCGTCACATATGTGGATGTTTATAAGTATATTTGTGCAATAAATGGTCTTTCTTTTAAAGACCATTTTGAGTTTTTAGCATAAATGTAAAAATAATAACTGAGGTCAAAATAGTTCTTATCTCAAACAGTTACCAGAAAAAGATAAAAGATTGAATTGACCCTCCCCTCCGGTTGAGCCACACCTCTTTTCAACTCTGTTTTTCTTAAATGTGGCTTTCCCACGCTATAACCGTCCACCCCACTACAACTGAAGTGACAGTATTGAGGAAGTACCATGAAGCCATACCGGGTCAAGACCCAATTTGATAGTTTATTCGATGTTTACATGGTATTATCCACTGAATCACCCTCCACTTTCTCGTGCTTGATTGATGGACAAATCTTTGGTAGTTCTTAATAAATGTGGGTACAAGACAGATATATCTACACTTCAGTCGGACTACAGTCCACAATTGTTGACATATCGACCGATACACCTCGGAAAGTACATCTCTCACAAATACCACTTGGTATTCAGTAGAGGACGTAACGTGTACGCGAGACGAATTAATCAAAATTTGAGATATTTAACAGAGTTCACCTTTGTGCATATTTTTCAGAAACTAAAGGTTAGTATTTTCTGAAAGCTCATTCATCGTAGATTCAATATATATATATGGAACTTTAGAGGCATACGAACGCATAGCCGACATGTCTTGACTGTATAGGACCGCATCGCGGCTCTCGGCTAACGAGCGCAGACCTGTTTGTTATTGAGGGGTTCCCTTAGTACCGCAGAGCGCATCCGTCTCGCGAACAACAGACAGTTGACCGTTTCGCGTACACGTTACTTCCCTGACTGACATTACTATCACTTTACATCGCATTTAAAGATAACTGCTTCAGTAAAGTGAAGACAAGGTTCCTCCACAATCTCAAAATACCCTCTATCCAGGGTGTCTTGTCTGTTCGCCCTCACTTTACAGCAGTTATGTATAGCGCTCAACTCTTACATCAACCTTTGCCTGTTGTTGCTACCAGGATTTCATTCTAGCTGACTTTAATTACTCTTATCCATGACAGCCTTTGTACATAGCCGTATTGCCTTTTGAATTCGAGTGTAGATAAATAGTGATGACGTCATCAATGGTTCGGATCAAATTAAACCAAAAATGGAATATAGTAAATAAATCATTATGTAATCTTGTTATAAGTGATTTGCTGTGGCGAAAACATGCTGGAATTATCTAGGACAGACAGGCAAGCTGACTTACCCGTGTCGGTTTTCTCCTCCGAGATCCGGGTGGGTTACAAGGACGTTTCACTAACACAGGTCCAGTGTACAATGGCGAAGACAAACGCAGTAAAACACTGGACAAAGTTTACCTTGTCACACAACAGCAACACACTGCTGAATACTGAACGAAGATTAACTGAGTTAGACGGATGATAGACGGAGTTAGACAGTTAGCAACTGGTGCCCTACAAACCACCCTGAACTGTTTCTTCCTTGTGCCTATGCAAGTACTTTCGGTATGACTCGTGCATTTCCGTGATCTCCGGTTGCGCAAGTCACGCCATATTGAGTCGACCACGACACTGACACGCTGCAGACAGTGAACCCTGACGCTATACAGCAGCACAATGCTCATTGAAATAGTGTGTGTGTGTGTGTGTGTGTGTGTATGTGTGTGTGTATGTGTGTGTGTCTAAACATAGTAGCATGTGCAGATAACCCCACTACTATGTACTATACACGGACACCCGGTGTCACATGTCACCTCTACAGTTTAGAGTTGAAGGTAACTAGTGTATGTGAGATCTACATAGACACAGAAGGAAATGAAAGAGATCTCCTCTGTGATACTACCCTCTACAATACAGACACCCGGTGTCTCAGGTTACTCTACAGTTTAGTGTTGATGGTAGCTCGTGTGAATGAGACCTACATAGACACAGAAGGAAATGAAAGAGACACCCTCTTTCTTACTGCTCTACAATACAGACACCCGGTGTCACATGTTACTCTACAGTTTAGTGTTGATGGTAACTACTGTATGTGGGACATACGTAGACACAGGAGGAAATGAAAGAGACACCCTCTTTCTTACTACTTCTACAATAGGCACCCGGTGTCACAGGTCACTCTATAGTTTAGTATTGAAGGTAACTAGTGCGTGCGTGTGCACTCTATGCCCGCGCTACCATCAAAGTACACAAAGACCCCATCAAGGCCCGCCTACTAGTCTGCTCCAGAAACACCGTCCACACATTGCCCGTTTCCTCGTCCCCCTTGGTACATCAGCCACATCCTTCGTCTCCGACTCCTCCGAATTCTGCACCAAGGTCAGTCCGATAACCCGGCCTGTCAAATTAATTAGTTTTCCTTCATCTTCACAACTTATAAAATGCCTCTCAAAGAACATAGTTTATCGCAGATATAAATTTAAAAATAGAAATTAAATTTAAAGGACACTATGCATTTTTATTATATAATGCCATTCAAACATGAATAAATACCACATCTGCACCATCCATTTACGAACAATAGTCGTAAAACTTATAAATATGCACCAAAGCTAAAACTACTTTAGCCCCGCCCACTCATATGCATATTTTTATTTTTAGCAGTCTGCCGTCTGTGGGTGTGACGTCATACCAGAGAGTCGCTCAGTGTGTTGACATTTCAGTAGTGTATACGCCATTGAGTTGAAAGTGACACGAAGCGCAATATTTTGAATGAAGCGATGTTGTGATTATGTAATGGAAACTGACAACTGCACTTCCAGTTATCCAACTGCGTAAATAACACAGATGTACATTTCCTGAGAAATTCTATTTGACAAGAGGAAGGGCATAGATTGTTTACTATCGTCGTGCGGAGTTTGTGAACCCCTCCACGCTCGGTCATCTGTTAGACTAACAACTAGTCTCTGAAATGAACATATTTTCCTGAAAAAAACGTTCATAGTAAAAAAATATATATATAATGAAAAGGAGCCCTGAGACTTTCTTCATTTTCAGAAGCTGAGGAAATCTAGACTTGCCACATTTTCTAGACTTGCATGGGCTTTCTCGGATATATTTGCTTCAGGGTCTGTACGATAGACTAGGTCATCTGTGTTCGTTACACTTTTCGTAGAAGTGCTATGAAAGAGACCTAACCTCTGGCGAAATATGGATACGAATAGGAAACACTTTATAAGGATTCTATATATCGGGCATTCCTTTCGACAACCAAACAAACACAGAGGCCGAGATGTCAACTTGGGGCTGAGACCGAGAGAGTTGCATTCCGGACGCGACGTTGGTTGCAGGTGAGTTTTAAGATGTAGTTGTTTTGGAGCAACATATACACTCCAGTAGCTAGCTATATAAAACAATAGTTGATGAAAAAGTCCGTCATAATTTGCGCTCAAGTCCTATTTTCGTTCACAGATATATTTTCACAGCCACTGTTATTGCAGTAGGGCCAAGTCATCTATTTCCCGAGACGGGTGTGTTGTGGTGTGAGTGTGTGTGGAGGGAGTGGGATGGGGGTGGGCATGGACAAATGAGAACTTGCCACATATGGGTGCGGTGGTGAGAGAGCACATAATTATTTAAACATAATTAAAAATGAGTTATATCAGATAATTATCCACCAGGGACTGGTCCCCTACCATGTTAAAATGGTATGTGAATTGTGTGCGGGTGTGTGTGCGTGCGTGCGTGCGTGTATGTGTTAGGGCATGCTTAAAATGTTCACTCTCACTCATTCTCTCATTAAGGCAATGTACAATAAATATAACGAAAATGACTGCCCTACACTGACATTAAACTTAGGTATTATGCAGCTGTAACTTTTAACCCACTTTCAAAAATGGGACATCAGAGAAATATGTTCATTCAGATAATGTATTTCTTTGTGGGTTTTGTTTTTGGCAAATGTAAAAATGCTACTTTAATGCCATTTTTTAGGATGTACATGACATCATTTCACATCAATGAAAACAACCTAAATACCCTAGAAGTGACCAGGACTGGAGAACCCAAATCGACAATCAGCTACCCCTAGGCCTAAACCAAGAGGCTAAGCCAGTGAACAAGAAACCAACACGTCGTAAATATAATTCAGACAATCAATATTTTTTTGTTGAACTGGTGCACTCCAGTTTGCAATAAAAGAAGTTCCTATTACTGCATGTTTTTCCCTAACTAATGAGTCAACACTAAGTCTCGTTTGCAAAGACACTGGTTTTTAATCCTCATATCTATTTTCTGTCACAGCCTTTGCCGTCATGATGTTGGTGTACACATTGTATTCATTATTTTGTCATAAACAGTTTGTATGCAAAAAAACCCTTTGCTTTAATTTGTGTGTGCTGGTTTCGAATTCTTGATTTGATCGCTGGTCTTTATTTGGGACTGATCACACTTTACACATTACTACTAGAACACAATGGAGAATTTTCTTTTTCACTAGCTGACATTTAAAGAGAAAGATAAGGATTTTTTGCATCTATATGTATTTATTATATCTATTATCAGCTGTTAAGGAGGTTATATGTCTTTATCACTTTACAGTTTATGTATATTTCACAGATTTATATGACTATGTATCACCACATATAACCGATGCTTGGCACCTGTATGGAAATTGAAAATGTAATAAAACTGATGTTTGATGCACCATACCAGAGACGATACACCGACTTCTCCGAAAACATACACTAACGAATTTAGGGTACTTCTCTACAATACAGTAGTGACATCAAACTTATCGACTTCCGTAACGGTACGTATTTTGTAGAAAAGATTATCTCCATGCTAAAACCTTTACGGATAAACTTAGAAGAAGACGCATTTTATGAAATAAAGCTGAAAGTTACTTAATAAACGTCATAAATTCATGAACCTCGAACGTAACTATTTCAGTGTTTACCTTCCCATACCGATGTATACCGGAAGACAGGCTCAACACATTGATCATTGCCATTATCATGGCTGCAAATTTTACCGTGACCGCGGAAAAAATAATTCAGTATCTATAATCAGTTTTCCATGAACATGTGATAGGGAAGTGACTTGAATACCAGTCTGCAGTAGGTCTATTCAAAACATAGTCGGGATCGGGATCGTCCCACGGCTGTATGTTGTCAACTGGTGGAATCGTCGTCAATATTCCTGTTGGTCTTGCCGCTAGAAATACTTTCAAATTGAAAGGGTTGTATGCATGTGATATTATCTGTATCTAGTATGTCATCCAAATCCAGGTTTGACTTCGTGGATTGATTTATTTGCTAACCTAGAAGCAGACCTCAGTATGCGAACAGGCTCGGTACCACTGTATTTTCCCTGTGCTGATAGTACTTAGCGACTCTCCGGTATGACGTCACGCGACCACATGACAATCTATCGCATTATCTTGCGTAATCGCGAAATGCTTTCGTGGGAGGTGCGTTTTAGATTCCTAATACAAGCTGTATAATGAAATATTACCGTTTTGAACTGTATTTTGTGAATATTATATATACCCAGGGATTCAGTAAGAGCGAAAATAAACAATGTGAAGTGACTTTTTTAAAAATCCTTTAAACATTTAAACTATAGATGAGAATACAGGCTATAGAATACCAACAACTGAAGGTATATCACCTTACTAGGGACCATCGCAGAACTACAAGAACAGAAGTTGGAATCAGTACTACTAATCCGCTCGTCAATATAAACACTACCTTAACGGCTTTTTTCTCTATCAACTAATCGTACCTCTAAAATCTACAATCAGTCAAATTGGTTTTGTTCATCATACCCGGTAACTATCGAAACAACCAATCAATCTTCTAAGGTTAAACCGCTATGGATATCGAAACTAAAAAAAACAATCAATCAATTGTTAAATTTAAAGCTTATCCGCAATGAAGGATATATAATTATATATTCTCTTTTGATCTTGGTGCAACTATGTTGGACGTTTTCTCAAGGCACAGAGGCCGTTTTCTCTTTGTTCAGAGGCAGTTCTCTCCAGCGCGGTGGCCGTTTTCTCTTTGTTTGGAGGCAGTTCTCTCCAGCGCGGTGGCCGTTTTCTCTTTCTTTGGAGGCCTTTCTCTTCAGCGCAGAGGCCGTTTTCCCTTTGTTTGGAGGCCTTTCTCTCCAGCGCGGTGGCCGTTTTCTCTTTGTTCGGAGGCCTTTCTCTCCAGCGCGGTGGCCGTTTTCTCTTTGTTCGGAGGCCTTTCTCTCCAGCACGGTGGTCGTTTTCTCTTTGTTTGGAGGCCTTTCTCTCCAGCGCAGTGGCCATTTTCTCTTTGTTCGGAGGCCGGTCTCTCCAGCGCGGTGGCCGTTTTCTCGATTTTTATTGGGTCCGTTTTCGCTGGGGTCCTTTTTCCCCGTATCCGCTCTGAACATTGTTATGATCCATATACTCAAAGCATTTGGGATACAAGGGGTATCCGGGGCTTTCCACCAAGGACCAAAACTACTATAATAGGACCCACCTTCACGATTAAGGTCTAAACTGACTGGCTGACTGAGTTTGGTTTTACCAGAAATGGGCTTCACACATTGTACCCATGTGGGGATTCGAA